CACTCTCTGACGTGGTGCGGCCTCGCGCCCTCGCACTCATCGTCGGCCACCACCAGCACGGCGCGGGCGTCGTCGCTGAGGCCGTCGCGCTGCGCCTCGTCCTCGACCATCAGCACGCAGGTCACGCGGCGGTACTGCACTCCCATGCCGCAGCTCTTGGAACACGTGCCCCAGTCTTCAATCTCGTATCTGGAAGGTTTTGCACGTTGTTAAGTAGGATCCTGTACTCAATATCAGCTGATGGGTGTTGGTGGTTTGTTAAACAGCTAGAAAAGTAATACTCGTCAATCGTCAAGGAAGAAAGATTTCATACTAACCTACGCAATCCCCTTATTTTCTTTTACCTATACTCGACTCAGTCACCTACTTTGCGATATGTATAGAATACTCCTGAAGGAATTTTGATATAACTTGCTAATGATGGTCTCTCTTGGCAATAAATTTATATGGTACACTAAATGTTCGTCCTTTGGCCCAATCAAGCGGTTGCCTCACCTGACTTGCCCGCACGGGAGCATAACGCATTCCTCAAACTTTGTGACAACGTCTGAAAACACTTGACATGAGGAGGGGTCCAGTACTTCCTCGGTGTGCACGTCCACACACTCCTGGACGATGGGCCGGACGCCCCTTCCGCAGGTAACGCTGCACGCCCCAACGGCCGTCCTCGTCATGGCCTAAATAGAAAAATGTTATCAGCACTTCCTCCTGCGAGCTGATGCAACTCACTTGATTTTCGTGCACACGTTGATCATCTAAAACAATCGAATAAAAAAGGTAGGGATAAGAAAAAGGATATATCAAGCATACTTACTGTGGGTGCATTTAAGGCTAGAAAAACGTCCTTCTGAGCGACGTATTCTTGCAGGCCTACAGTTGTTTGGGCATGAAGAGTTGGCACCTTCGCAGGGCCGTCGCCCCATTGATCTTCCTTAGTCGATGGTGGCCGCCCGACTTTCAGGGCGGTCTCGAAGTCCCCGGGCTGAGTCTGCGAGACGATCTGATATCGGAAGTCTAGATCGTAGTTTTCTATGAGTACATCAGCAGGATTTCCATCGTATGAGATTTTGTCCAGTGTATAGTGTTGGTCCTGCCACTCGAGGGATGGATGCCCCTCGGCGACGTCCCTGTTTGCGGCGCTGGGGCGGTAGACGAAGACGGCGCCGCTGGCCGTGATGGCGATGGAAACCGGCGGACACTTACCGAAGCCGGATTCCAGCGACGCTGACTCCGAACAGCCAGGGATCCAGGGCAACCACGAGGCTGGCAACAGCTTGCACAGGCCGGTCGCTTGCGTCAAGACCGCCGTCACACCCTTTACGATTTCCCAAATGGTACTTATGGCGACCGCCATTTCACTGGGGCACTTCTTGCAGGGAGGCAGTAGTTCAACGGGTTTCTTGACTGGCACTTTAGTCGTGTTGCCGGTGTCAAGATCCATGAACATCACATATTTCGCACAATGGGGCTCCGGTGAACAATCAAACAGATCGTGCAGTGAAGGAGCTAAAAAATTACAGATATCCTTTGGTAAATTTTTAAGCTCCTTCGGGAAGCCATTCTGCAAGTTGCATTTTATGAATCCAAACCTGCCGATATTCTCCGACGTGTCAATCATCGAAGCAAAAGCTTCGCGCGCCGCAAGATCATCTTCGCCCGCGCGGCTCAGCAGAGTATATTGTTCTCCTCTCCACAGCAGACTCTGGCCCTTGACCCCGTCGCTCTTGCGGTCGTGGACGTAAGTGTAACTGATGTTCTGCAGAATGAGGATAATGCTCTCCGGCGGGCACGGCTCCTCGCCCGATGCTCCTGTACTGGGGCACTGCAGGGTGGGATGCATCACGTGGGGAACGGCACCGCACACCTGAGAATTCCTTAACGGGACTCTTATATCCTCTGCCGTCTTACCCTGAATGACCGTGTAGCTCCCTAGGTAGCAGGACCCATCTGCGGGGAAATCAGAGTTCGCAAGGACTTCCTCAGTCACATTGCCAACATCTAAGTCCACATGCAAGACGTGGGAGGGACATGGGATGCTGCAGTTGAAGGTCGGGTGGAAGACCGGGGCGAGGAACATGCATATGGATTTAGGCAGATTGTGCAGAGAAGGAGGAAGCTGTGGTGTGAAATCGCATGTGCAGTTCTGCGTCGCATTCCCCTCTGGCACAGTTAAGGGCGGTTTTACGGTTGTTGGCTTTGGATCTGGAATTAGACAAACCGCTTAATATCAAAGGCCATAATCTGTAATAGCAAGAGAGGACTTATCATATATGTTTATCACGAAAATATATGAATACGAACCAGACGTTTTCACTGCGTCCTTACCTCCCCCCACGTGAGTCGGGTTCACACCGAAAAGTATGATGTGCTTGATGAGGTCTTGCTCGGGGCGACACCTGCCGGCAAAGCAGACCCTTTGCTGACCACAGATGGAGCCTTCGAGGGCGGGGTGAGCTGGCTTTGTGACAATGCCGTTGGTGCAATACATATAGTTGCAGAG